TAACAACGGGAACGTGAAGCGCAAGGAGAAATAGAATGGATGAAACGTAATAATCCTAGCATTTGAATCATTCGCATCCACATAAGAAGCATCGTCGGTTGAAGACTCTGCCAGCTTGATATGCACGTCATCAGGTATGGCAGAAGCATGGGCGACACGCCACTTCTGAAATTGAGCTTCAGACGTGACACGATGTTGATTAGCCACAAATATCTTCTTGTGCACTTTGGAGCCTCCTCACAAGTAGAAAGGCACTTGTGAGCTTGGTTATTGGCTACCTTCCTCAAAAGACATGATGGCTGGACAACTGCAAGATGAAAAGACATTTTTGCAAGTCAAAATACATGTCAGGTCAACAAAAAAAAAAAATTGGACAGCTTGTAGGCCTAAGCCATAAACTCACAACCCAAGTTGCATCCACAGCTCGAGTTGCACCACGACAGGCCCGTGCCTCATTTACCTAATTGGGCCAGGCCCAAGTCGTTAGGAAAAAGAAAGGAGCAACAATAGCTACTGTCGACAAGCACCGTCATCCTTGCCAACCTACACCGCCGCTAATGGCGTCACACCAGCAGTCTCCCCAAGTCATCATGACGACAACCAGTAGCCGAGGCCAACTGTTCCTCACCGCAAGCGAAAGAAAAGAAGAAAAAAAAAGAAAAAAAAAATTTGGACTTACCAAGGGGTACACGCGCAACTCCTCTCTTTAACAAACAGTACAAATTCTCCAAGATCTCTCTCAAGCAAGAAAGTATATAAAGCAAGTTTGGAATTTGAAGAAGAATGAAGAGAGACCTTATATTTATAAAGGTTGGGCATCCTAGGCCAAGGAGGAATCACAAGTTTATTCCCATTGGGAGCCCAACTCCAAGAAAAGTCAAAAGTCTACTCCAATTGGAGCCCAATTTGTAAAAGGAGTCCTAACTCAAAGAAGAAAGCCCAGAGGCAATTGGAAGACTCGAAGAATATTTTTCATCTCCTACATGCATCACAAGCGCCATGCAGAAGTTGGGGGGCATTTGTGGGAACAAATATTTCGGCTTCCAATCACAAGGCGCCACGTGGACAAGAAGAATATCTCATAGGTCAATTAATTGAGCCTATTTATTTGGCAAATTAATTGATACTAAAAATAAAGATATTATCTTAAATATGGGATATTATCTTTATTTAAAAGATGATATCATCAATTTAGGATATTATCATAATTTGGAGATATCATCATCAATTAGTGATTTGATCCCAATCAAATCCCCAATTGATTCAATCTCTACAATTTGGCGAAAGAAATCTTCCTTCCAAATAAGAAGATATTCTTTGAAAAACTCTAGATGCCTAGAGCCTTATAAATACATGGCTACATTCAACACACAAAGTAATATGAAACTCAACTCGAAAACCCTACTCACTCTCTCTCTCTCTCTCTCTCTCTCTCTCTCTCTCTTGCCGTGTCCCCTCTCTCCATATTTTTTTGTCACGACTCCGGCCACCCGGTTCTCCTTATAGAGAAAACTCCATACTTTTTTTTTAGGTATTGTTTCTCAAAGATTCAATCGAACTAACTTAGGCATTAGATGGTCTTTGGCCAACACCCCCTGGGTATGATCTTTTACTCTTGTTTGATTTTAAGGAATCGGGGAAGAGAGAGAAGGAAGTTCAAAAGTCGAAGAATCTTCAAGCGAATATTCTTCCTCGAGATATTTGCATAAACAGGTGTCACAATCTTTAGGATGTCACTAGTACCCACTTGAACTAGTTGTCTACAAAAATAAAATTGATTTTGGTGCGTCTGTATATAATATACAAACAAGAGGATCTTACAAACAAAGTTACTCATAAAATCCAAGAGGGCGTGATGTTAAAAAACAAGAAAAGAAGAAGAAGACTACACATTATATACTTAAAATCTACGCTTTGAAGTTGAATAAGCATTTTATAACTTGCATTATTAGGGCAAGCATGAGCTAATTGGAGGGCCATTGACTCCTATACAAAAATCACAGCATATCTTCCGAGCTCTGATGTTGAAGATTTGGTTTGTATTTTAAAACAAGCCGAAAGAAAAATGGGCCTAAATTGTTTGTACTTCCCTAGAGTCTACAATCACCTATAAGAGAGAATTGAGACACTAAAAAAATCATTGTTCTGCAGTTGATTAAGTATTGGACAGTTGGAAGTTCCAGAGAAATTGAATGAGTCCATGGAGGAGCATAATAAATTGATTTTGAAAGGAGTCTATGATGTACTCTCCTTTGTTTTTGGGTGCAAGATTTGTTTTAAAATAATGGTGATGTAAAAGGATATCTAAAAGAATAATGGTGATGATGAAAGCACTTTGTAGGTTCTCAAAGAGGGAGCAGTAGACCCTATAATTGAGTATTATTAGTCCTACATTATGTTGTCTTCCATTGTGATATCAATATATAGTTTAGATTTCTTCTTGTCTTATAGTCAAATTCGAAGGAAAAGTATGGGCACTCTGCTATTTTTCTTCAATACAAGTTCTCTTTATAATATTTTTTTAAGAACAAGCAGAATTTCATTAATATATGGGTAAATCCAGGAGATTTACAATAAGAACACACCCTAAATATTCTGCATTAACAGGGAATCATAAGCACCAAAAGTGAAAAGGTCTAACCGCTGACATCCACCCGACCAGAGAAAGGTACAATACCTCCAACATCCCACATGATCCCACAACACCTAGTAATGAAAGATCTACCCAAATCTAACAACTCCACCTCCACAACACAAAGGAACCTTAAAAGTCAGTCCAAAAATACTTGAAAGAAACAAAATTCAGTACAAAACTAGGAAGAAACAAAACCCAACATAAAATTGAGGAAACGTTCTCTACAACATGACGGGAGAGAGAGATGCCCGATTTATTAGCCAAAGAGGTTAGTTCTAAGGGAAACCCCTTGAACCAAAGAGGGGTTGCACAGAAAGAGAGACGAAGAAGAGAGAAAAAGGGTTGGTTCCACATGATTTGGTTGGTAAAGTGTTTGCCTTTTTTTTCTTTCTCCTTTTCTGGGTGCAATAAGTGCTTTTTCATTGTACAAGAGTCATCAAAGTTTGAGAAATTTTCCAGGGTTAAGATTAGAATAAGCTAAAAACCCCAACAAGAAATTTTTTGAGACTTTTGGGGAAAAAGAATAGTTTCTTATTTGGTCAAATTATGATTATTTTGATCAGAGATTGTTACTTTAAATTAGATTGGATTTTCACGAAGAAGTCCATAAATCCAATTATTTTACTTTTTGAATTTAGAGATCCAATCCAACATGTAAAAATTGCGTAATTATAAAATTAGATTCAATTTAGACAGTTAACCACAAACCTATTACAAGAAGAAGAAATAAAGAAATATTTCATTTGCACCACATATGCTAAAATATCCAACCTGAAACCCATTCAAATCATATTAATTTATACATCTTGTGTATAAAATGTATACATGAACCCTGATTAGATTAAACCCCAGGTTAAATCCTCTTCATTAGGTTAGATTTACTAGGAATATGCATATGATTCTCCCAAATGAATTTCCTAATAAAATATCAAGATTCACCACCTTAACCACATCCAATCATAACTTTAGAAATTACCAGTTATAAATTATAATCGAGGCTGAGGTAGATCAGCATTGAGTTCCAAGTGGGTGGTCCCAGTGTGACAAAAAGGATGGGAGCTTTATGTGAATGTCCAGGGTCCCACAGCAACATACCAACCCATGTCAATCAACACAAAACTCCAAATGAATCTCTTTCAATTTTATTTAGGAGACGTCCATTCTAAGCTGACGCTGCCACAGATTCCCCCAATTCTTTCTTATTCACGAAATTATAGTGTAATGCTAATATTTTATTTTTATTTTTTAGGGTTTAAAAAGAAAACGAAAGAATAAAATTATGAAAGTGAGACTTTGTAAAACACCAAGATGACCGCCACTCGTAGTCTGTTTGTTTTTGTTTTGGTTTTTGGGGAAAATACAAGACCTGTCGCTAGATTTCGCAAGTACCAAATACCAATAGGTTAATATGGATTGAGGCCTCTGGCACAATCCAAAGAAAAAGTAGTGCCAACCCTAGAGGACTTTTTCCTTTTTGTGTTTTGGCATACTTGATTAAGCTTTAACCAAATACATATTTTCAAATTCAATGTACATACGTGGTGTAGTCAAGTGTGGAAATTTGTAAATTTCGGAAATTTCAAGTATGGACAACCTTTTCTTGGCCATCCGAAAACTAAATATACACAAGACGACGACGACGACGACGATAATAATAAAATGATTAAAGTTCTTTTTATTTGATTTGATTTATTTTTATTTCTGCAAAGAAATGAACGATTCTAATTAGTGGACAATAGATTCGAAGAAAGACATCCGTGAATGTCACAATATTTGACGGTCCATTTTAGAGAATTATTATACATATGTATATATGTATAGTATATATGTGTGTGGATGAATGTGAATGCAGAAGCCTAGAAAGGTCTAAAAATATAGAGGCCCATTGAAATTTCATTTTCATGAACGGCACTTTCTGGGCTGGAAGACAAAAAGTTCTGCGCTAGGCAGCATTTAGGTAATAATTGAGGTGGGACAGAGGAGGGTTTGGGATTTAGAAGTTCAGAATTATGATGTGGTCACAAAGAATTGAATTTAGAAAAGGGAATTCATTGCAGAGAAACACCGATGACTGAAACAACCGACAAATAATTTCTACTAGATGTAAAATCCAAGTTCATGGAAACTAAATCTTCCAAGCAACAATCCAAAAGACAGTGCTCCGAGTGCTCAGCTACTGATTGAAACTCTAGGATATGCTTGAGAGTGCTTATAAAAAGAAATTCCGACAATTAAAAGCACTTCTGATAATGTTTAGCATCGACACTTCATTTTGGTCTTATAAAGCAAAATGTAATCTAAGAAGCTAAGGTTCGAAGGTTAGAACCACATATATATATAAGAAAACTCTGGCCAATAATGTCCATTTGAATCCATAAAACAAATGCACTCCACCGACCTTTTACAATTAACTTTACATAATCATACATTCATCAGCTAGCGATCGTAGCTAGCAACACACCCTGTTGTACTATTATGTAAATAACGTCAATGGGGGGGGGCAATTGAGGAAAAAGGGGGTTGCACCAGCAGTGCAATATTGTGTAACTGACGTTTGATAATCTTCCAACATTCTGGCTTCATCATTTGTTGTTTAATTAGGCGGCAGCCACCGTCTGGCTCTTACCGGAAGCCTTGGAGTTTGTCGAGGTGGATCGCGAGGCGTGGCGGTCGTCCTTCTTTGAGGACGCGGCCTTACACTTCTCTACTCTCTCATCTTGCTTCATCTGTTGCTCTCTGCATTCTAGGCTACAAAATGCGGTGTCTCCCCTGTACAAATAATTCAATTACTAGAAAATAAATAAAATAAAGACATCATTAATTCTAAACTTATTTTTTCCTTACATTATGAATGATTGAACTCTTAATTACGATTGAACTCTTAACCTATCCTAATTCTATCTCATTTTTCCGCACTTTCTATGTCATATCTAAGATATTTATGCAGGAGTTGTGTCACAAAAATACTAACAACATATCAAACTTTATACATATGATTAATTTAGTAGTGGTATCTAGATGAATTTGGTATCAGTTGCCTGCATGTACATCCAAATCTAACAGTACACCTTTGAAATCCGAAAATAAAAAGGAAGAAAAAAAATCCATAAATTAAACAAAAGAAAAACAGCAAGAGAAATAATAAGATAAAAGCATAGATAATTCCAACAAGGGGTAAATTAATTAATTACCTATACATGTAGATGTCACGGCCTGAAGCCAAGTGGCGGCGCCCGCGGGCCCTGGTTGTGGGCCCACCACCATCGCTGCTGCTGCTGCTGCTGCTGCATGCACATCCGTCGGTTCCTCGCCTTCCACGTTGTTCAGATCAACGGTGATCCCAGTCATGCTTGTTGTCCTCCTCATCGGAGGGCGGGGACGCTTCCCTAACAACATCTTTTTTAATTCGTTCTAAACTAGTTCTGATGGCTTCTGCAGTTTTCAGAGAGAGAGAGAGAGAGAAAGAGAAGAGAGAGATTGGGGGAGTGAGAATGGAAGGTGGGGAAGGAAGATAAATGAGATGGGGGAAGGCTGAGATTGAATCTGGACCGCTGATTGAGACCATTGAGTACAACAAAACTCCACGTTAGCATAACTTAATGCTCTCTCTCTTTCTCTCTCCTGTTTTTTGTCTCCTACTTTAGCTTTGCTTTTTCTCTCTGTACTTTTCTAAATTTAGGATTTAATAATTTATTGATTCTCTTTGGGTATCTTACCTGTCAGGTCTTCCTTCAATTTGTAATTAAATCAGTATCAGATAGCATGAAATGAAACCTAATTGGTAGTACGTGTACGTCTTTCTTTCCTTCAATAAGTATTCCAGGTATATTTTTTTTGTACTAACAGGTGTGTTTTATAACCCTGCAACAGTCACAGACCCAACGTCTGCATCTCGGATTCTAATCACAGCTTGATGGAGCATGGAAAAATAAGATCCCATCATTACTGTTCAATGTTTGGTTTTCCAGCTTATACTGTTTAGGAAATTAGAACAATCGGATAAGCAGTAGTGACAAGCACACGCTTTATTACCAACTGATGCGGTTTGATAATTGCTTCCTCTTGCTATATAGTGGTATTTGTCTTTCTCAATTTCAAATTTATCTTCGGTTGACAACAATGTGACATGGCATCTCGATTGTGTAATGCATCCCGCCAATGTCAGGTGCAGTTGTACAGCCATGAATTTATGTTAAAAGAGACACTTTAGAGACTATTTGAAAGAAAATATCACACTGCAGAAAACTGTAGTAAGATTATAATACGAGAGGAGGGGGGAAAAGAATAAGAATGAGGTAAGATTTCTCAATTATTCAACACATCAATTGTATACGTGTCTTGACTATTCTCCCTAGTAATAGGATTGTATTCTAGAAAACAAAAAATGTCAAAAAGAAAAAAAAAGGAAGGGGCCTGGCCCATTTCGACCTTATATGGGTCCGCCGATGGTCAGGTGGACGGTCCCAATGCTGCCACGTGTAACATTTAATTTAATTTATTTAAAAAGGCTACCTGCTCATAATCACTTCTAATTTTTTTTACTTCAACCTCTATTTCTTGAAATGACCTCGAAGTTTTTCCAGATCATTCTTTTTCACGACTTGATTTGAGATATTTGTATTTTGATGACAAAAGCTACAAGAGGTGAGACCATTTTTCTGTTTTTTCCTGTAAGTTCTCGTAATTTCTAATGCTGTGCGTTCTGCTATACTTTAGTGGAATAATAATTTCTTTTCTTTTTTTTTGGTTGTCGTTGCATTATTAGAAGATGGAGTGCGTAAGAACACTGAACTAGACAGACATCATCGATTGCGAGCTGAACCTAGACAAAGTAAAATGTACACGGGTGGGTGGACAATGTACATCAGTGGGCCAACCACCTTCAATTTTCTTTCCCTTTCATCAATTTCTGGCATTTTATATATATATATATATATTTTGTTAAGGAACTTCTATGTTTGTTTTCAATAACATTGCTCCTTAATAATAGGAATTTAAATATAATTTTTCTTTTTAAATGTTGAAAGAGATCACAAGTTTAAATTCCTTCCCGTCGATCAAAACACAGAATAATATCGTTAATAATTAAAATATTTGTATTCAAGACAGTAAAAATGAATCCATCCAAACCCTCTATTGGTTAGGTCTCTATTTCAAGATCAATTGATAAGAAATCAACCAAGTCCACTATCATTTGATCATCTAACCATGAACAAATTATTTTCAATAAATAATGAAAAATTTGTAATGATAATAAAATGGTTAGATGATTTATGACTTTGATGATATTTTCGCATGGATGGTTCTCCTCAAAAGACACAAAGAGATCTAGAAAGTGAGACCCGCGATATATTGGAGATATTTGTGCTCACCACTTTAACCCAAGATGTATGTTCACCACCTTTCTCAATACTTCACACGTGTCTAAGGGCATAATAATGCTTAACTTTTTACTTTTTTTTTTTTTTTTAAAATTAAGTAGGGGGCAAAGCCCCAAGGAACAGACTACACAACCTGGTCTAAACAGACCAATCTAGAATGAACAATTCCAAGCAGATCATCAACAAGATAATCACTTAACCAACTAGGAGCCTGCTCAAACACGCATAGCCCAAGATCCACTTGATAACTCCAATTCGCTAACCGGTCAGCAACAATATTCTTCTCACGAAAAACATGCTGAAGAGCACACCTGGGAACCTGCTGCATAAGGTCACAGCAGTTCCTTACCAAAGTAGCTAAAGGGTGCAAAGAAAGCATGGAAGAATTCTGACAGAGATTGACTGCAATAGCTGAGTCCATCTCAATAATGAGACTACTGATGCCTTTCTCAATTGCTAACTTCAAACCAAAGAAGAGACCCCATATCTCAGCCTCAAGAACTTGACCTTTTCCCAGATTAATAGCAAAACCACTTACCCAGCCGCCAAAATTAACTTTTTACTTTGATTTATGTAACTATAGTTATATTATGGACACATATCAATCAAGTATTGAGAAGGGCGGTGAGCAAAAATACTCCCTATATATTATAGTTAAATAATATGAATTGGGTAATTGTTTATCTATTCATTCAAAGATTATTTTTGCACAAATTAGTCAAATGGATAACCACTTAACTATATGATTATCATGATGATATTTCAATGTCTATTACAAGCGCTATATATGTATGTTCATTTATGATCACAATTTTGGTTAAGATTTTTTTAATTTTTTTTTATAAGGATGATCCTTTGGAGACTTGAAAATTGGGCAACTACGATCATTGCTTTAAAGGATTAGTAGAGCCTTAAACAGTGTGCAATAAAAATCATACATCGTTGTACACTAATCTTTGTTCAGATAATTGATTAGTGGATTAGCCTGTGTTGGTGTGTACGTATATGCAAGCCCATTCGTAGGAAATTTTTTGACTATAAAGGTAACATTGTTACGTGGTGTTATCATTTGAGTATAAAAGTAACATAGTCACGTGGTGTTATTATAAACGATAAGTTCATTTTTATGAATCTAGGGTATAGGATCTCAATGATTTACAGGCCTATACAAGCCCAAACTCAATCCAAATTCGAGCTATATCAATCCGATTACACCCAATTTTATATCAAGCCGATTACACCCATATCAAGTCCTATGACGGCCTGACTTTTTATTTTGTTGCACATTGGCTAGGGAACCATAGTTTTGTGGTTTATTTAAAAAAAAATATCTAACCATGATTAGTATTTACTCCTTGTGTGGAAACTTTAATTCCACACTATAGTTGAAAATGGTGAACAGACTTGTCCTTGATGGAAAAGTGTGTTGTATTGTCAGATGAACCTTCTAACATATTTTATTATAGTTTAATATACAAGTGATAATCCCTTTCCACCTTTTTTTATTCATTATTTTGTCGTGATTTGATTTTATACCATCATCGTCAGTTCTCATTACTAATCTGGATGTCTATATTAATCCAATTTGTATTGGCCCCACGTTTCTCTTGAGTTACCCTTTCTTCTCGGAGTAATTATAGTGTAGTACAATAGTATTTAGTATAGTTACGAGTTATAATATAAGTGGATATTTATTAATATTATTTTATTAATTATGTCGTCCACATATATTATAATATGTGTGCACGCTATACAAGGTGGCCGTACTCTTGGGAAGAAAATCATCTGAGCAAAATTTGTGGTGCCATTTAAATCTAGAAGGAACTTTAGCTCAGTGCCATTTTTGTCTGGGCCAAAAGTTCTCCCTCAAAAAATGCATTTCAGTGCTACCAATTGTTACAAGCGTTTTCTGGTTTTACTATAAGAACATCAATTACTGTTTTTAATCTTTGTATTAAAGTAATATCTTGCTTTTTAAAGGGAAAGTTTGAGGCTCAATCTATGGGGAAAGGGTGGACTTTGATGGAGAAAACTACTTTTTTTTTTTGTTGGTGTAGTTAGGCAATTGTCTTTGATGGTGCTTATGGTTTTGATTGTGTTTATCAGTTGCTTTTCAAGAGAATCTTCAAACGAGAAGAAGAAAAAAAGAAGAAAAAAAAGAAAGGGGATACTTTCCAAAAGCATTTACAGTGAATTACCAAAACACATCATGTCTTCACAGAATGAGAAAATAGTTCTCAACACCTGAGAGAGAGAGAGAGAGAACCGTGAGCCCCAAAACCCCCATGAGCTAAAGGGTGCAAAGAAAGCATGGAAGAATTCTGACAGAGATTGACTGCAATAGCTGAGTCCATCTCAATAATGAGACTACTGATGCCTTTCTCAATTGCTAACTTCAAACCAAAGAAGAGACCCCATATCTCAGCCTCAAGAACTTGACCTTTTCCCAGATTAATAGCAAAACCACTTACCCAGCCGCCAAAATTAACTTTTTACTTTGATTTATGTAACTATAGTTATATTATGGACACATATCAATCAAGTATTGAGAAGGGCGGTGAGCAAAAATACTCCCTATATATTATAGTTAAATAATATGAATTGGGTAATTGTTTATCTATTCATTCAAAGATTATTTTTGCACAAATTAGTCAAATGGATAACCACTTAACTATATGATTATCATGATGATATTTCAATGTCTATTACAAGCGCTATATATGTATGTTCATTTATGATCACAATTTTGGTCAAGATTTTTTAATTTTTTTTTATAAGGATGATCCTTTGGAGACTTGAAAATTGGGCAACTACGATCATTGATTTAAAGGATTAGTAGAGCCTTAAACAGTGTGCAATAAAAATCATACATCGTTGTACACTAATCTTTGTTCAGATAATTGATTAGTGGATTAGCGTGTGTTGGTGTGTCCGTATATGCAAGCCCATTCGTAGGAAATTTTTTGACTATAAAGGTAACACTGTTACGTGGTGTTATCATTTGAGTATAAAGGTAACATAGTCACGTGGTGTTATTATAAACGATAAGTTCATTTTTATGAATCTAGGGTATAGGATCTCAATGATTCACAGGCCTATACAAGCCCAAACTCAATCCAAATTCGAGCTATATCAATCCGATTACACCCAATTTTAT